ATGATAGTGTCCCCTGCGGCATTTCACAGATTATCGAATGTCATCATTAAACCAATTTTGTAATCCACTTTCATTTTGTTTATCTCTCCCTACTGTTGGATGTCCTTCAGCACAATTTTGTTACTTTCCGGGTAGATGCAAGGTGCAACAAGTTATCAGTGTGCTTGCAAGGATGTGGAACCCACCAATTGTTGGATTTGGAACCCATTTGACATTATTAGGAACCAATGAGCAGCTAATCCAATGTTATTAGCCAAGACGATTTGCCACTTCGCCATTCCGGATCAAATGATCTGGAGAAGATCTTAAGTTGCTGTGGAGTCTGAGGGCTTTATTTTTAAACCAAAGTGAGTTATGAGTACCATCCAGGGATGTGTCCAAGGACCGGCAACCCGAGGCCAAGGCCAAGGCCAAGGACTTGACTCCCAAGGCCGAGGCCAAGGCCAAGGAATTGACTTCCAAGGCCAAGGCCAAGGACCAAGGACTTGCTTCCGAGGCCAAGGCCAAGGACCAAGGACTGATTTTGAAACTGAGGCCTAGCCAAGGACATGTATAAAACAATGCTATCATACCACTTGGCAGGTCCTCGTGATTATCAATCCCCCTCCATCATAACCCTGAGCACTCCCTAACGCTTGAATGAAGTGATTTTATTCAAAGAGTAGAACAGTCAGGGTACATGTTATTTATACTGAGAAAAAAAAATAAAATCATATGATATACATTTATGAATTAATGTTTTAGTGCAGTAGTTTCTTAATATGAAGTAAATCAACACTCAACAGGCATGACATGGCACGGAACACAAGTTGAGAAATGACTTTGCATAGAAGTCAATCACTGACTGCAGAAAAAGCGGTAATCTCTCAGTGATCATTTTACAGTTTACCTGCAGCGAGTCCCAGGGACTCACTGATCAAAGCTTGCTTTTGCAGATGCTTTGGCTGATTAAATTCTCTGTTCAGAAGTGATATCGTTGAGCATGATGCTGTATTGTCAGTGTGATTACAATCTGAACAAACAGACTGAAGTGGAAACTGCAGTCGATCACAGGCTGTTCCATGACCCTCAGTGACCTCCACGATGCTCTTGATATCAACATTTTTTTCCATAACCTACAGGATACAGGATGTACCTTGCCTCTCTCTCACTTAAAATCAGCTGGCAGAGACTAATGAATAATGCAGACGAAAGAGGTATTTCCCAATGATAGTGTCCCCTGCGGCATTTCACAGATTATCGAATGTCATCATTAAACCAATTTTGTAATCCACTTTCATTTTGTTTATCTCTCCCTACTGTTGGATGTCCTTCAGCACAATTTTGTTACTTTCCGGGTAGATGCAAGGTGCAACAAGTTATCAGTGTGCTTGCAAGGATGTGGAACCCACCAATTGTTGGATTTGGAACCCATTTGACATTATTAGGAACCAATGAGCAGCTAATCCAATGTTATTAGCCAAGACGATTTGCCACTTCGCCATTCCGGATCAAATGATCTGGAGAAGATCTTAAGTTGCTGTGGAGTCTGAGGGCTTTATTTTTAAAGAGGAACACATCCCGAGTACCATCTAGTGATCTGTGAAACATCCAAATGTTTCTAAACTGCATTTTTGGAATTCAACTGCAGGGGTTCTTTGTCGAAGAGCTGTGCATGTGTCTGTGACAGCTGTTTTTGAAGCCCACCAGACTCAGAGAGTAGACGCCGGTAGTGCCAGCAGTTTTATAGCATACTTCAGTACGTGCGCAGACCCATTCATGACACCGATATCTTTGTACATGTCGTGTAATTTCTGATATGGAAAGATCACAATTACTTTTGCTGTTTGTTGTCTTTATCAAATCTTTCTTGTCTTTATTCTAGAAGCCAAAATGTTTTGTTTGTTTGTGCTTTTCAAAAACAGTTACAACCTTCACTGCTCAGACTTTTTGGAAATAAAGCCCCAGTTCAAAGATGACAATAACTAATATAATTATATATGTATATAACTAGATCATCCCTCTTGAAGGCTAGGTGTAATGTAATCATGCTGCAGAATGTGGAATGTTCTATGTTAAGGCCAAGTGAGTGAATCAATCCTTTGCAACAGCAGGTATGTGGCCTTGTGAGTCTAAGTGGCTGACAGGGGACAGTGACAATATGAAACTTGTCAACCCTTGTCAATGAGCGTAAAAGTAAAATAACGGCAATGAATAGAATGAATAATGAATACAGTAATATAGAACAATTTCCATTACACGACACACAAAAGGGCATGCATCAGATCGAGTTGACATGGTTCAGGCAACTGTAAATGTGTCAAGAACTAAGAAAAGCAGAGGACATTCTTCCCAGCGTTATTTAAAGTTGTTGTAATTCTCTCTGTGGGGTTTTATTTGTTATTTTGTGCGCTGAAGTTTAGCAAGTCAATCATCACCACACAAACCAGAAACACTTTATGACACTTTATAAACATGTGTTGTGAATGTCAGTCAGAATAAGTGGCCCAATGTCCTCCTTCACCTCTACATGGTCTTTTTCTGGAGCATATTTAAAAAAAACAAAAAACAAAAAAAAACCTTACGTCAGTTTCAATGTATCTTTTTGGCATACATAATAAGTTGTCTTCCATCCACCCATCCATTTTCTACAAAGCGTATTATGCTGTTCAGGATTGCAGGGTGTTGGATCCTCTCTCAGTTGACTTCATGAGAAAGGTGGACTACACTCTGGACTGGTCACCACTCAATCACAGGGCACATGTTGAAACAGACAACCATTCACACTCACATTTAGACCGACCACGCTACCTGCATGAAAGTCAGATGAGTGTTTCAAAAAGGTGTTCTTTTTTGAAACAACTGATATTTTTATCTTTAGCTTTATAAAGATTATTGTTTGCTATTCGGGATTTAGTACAAAATATTCACCAGGAATTAGTCATAATTTTGTTCCTGTTGTCTTGCCAAAAGCCATTAATACATTTACCTGTTGAATGGGCCAAGTTTATAAATCTTTTGGACTTTTCACACTATAGCTACTTTTTTTTTTTTTAGTCACTGATGGTGGAGTGGTATGCGGGCAGTGTGAAATCTGTTCCCACTCAGTGACGATGTGGATGTGGGCGTGGATGGTTGTTTGTCTATGTGTGCCCTGCAACTGACTGGTGACCTGTTCAAAGTGTAGCCTGCCTTCCGCCTGAAGTCAGATGGGATAGGCTCCAGCAACTCCCCGCGACTCTCTTCAGCATAAGCGGTGTTGAAAATGGATGGATGGATTTTTAATGCTTCCTTTCAGTTTAGTTTAGTTTTATTCAAAAAAAAAAAAAGTATTTGTTGAATGCAGCATAATTAAAAATGTGTTGTAAAGTAAACTACAATTCTCAAATGACTGTTTGACCTTCCTTCTTCTGTACGTATATGCAGCAATACCAAAATAAATACATTTAAAATGAACATTGAAACCTCATGTATGATATTAATTGACAAACATTCAAACAAAGGACATTTTTGTTCTAATTATAGTCAGTTATTGTTAGTTTTAAAATTAAAAGATGTCATTTCAGGTAGTTCACTTTTTTTCAGATGTGATAACAGAAATTATTTTTCAATTTTAGTTTTAGTCAGTCACTTCCTTAGTTTTTCTTCATTGTAATAAATTTGGAAACTTAAACTCTTACAGGTCAAATAATGAACTAAATCTTGGCCACCATGTAACATTAGAAAGATTTAAAGCCACTCTTATTCTTTTACCCACCAATAATTGCAATAGATTCACAAACATTTCTTTTTCAAGTGGCCAAAATGCACTCACAGTGAGCTGAAATGAGCACACAACAACATTAACGGGCATTACATTGCCGCTGGTTCTCTTTGTGGCATAGATACCACATCAGCTATGGGGGGTGGGAGGCCGCAAGAGCAAGAACGAGGGTGAGAAAAGAATAAAGTTGCGTCCGGCTTCTTGGAACTTGACCAAATGAATCTTATGATGGAATCCAATGCTGGCAGTGTGTATACAGTATTTCAGGTTTCCTTTTTGGTATATTGTGGCGGTGTACAGTTTCTACTATGATGACACATGGATAGAGAGAAGCGGCTGAACCCAAGTTTCTCCTCCAACAGGATGATGATCTCATGCAGATGAAATTGAATTTATTTTAACACCATTACAGAACATACGCTGGATGAAATTTGTTATTCTGCTACAGGATGATGAAATGCGGTGTGTGTTTCTCTTTCGTCAGTCGGTCAAGTGGGAAACGCATCTGTTTTACTTTGTCTTTGTTGGTGCAAAGTAGAAGATGACAAAAGCAGGCTCACATTCAAGGCAGTAAAAGACCAGCGTCATTACTGTAAATGTCATCACTAGTCATCAAAGTTAAGATGGACTATTCAGTGGTTTTAAAGTGGTTAACTTATTTTTACACTTGTTTGACAATTCAACTTGCTTAAAGGTGAGATGCGTGACACACATCTTCAAAACAACTCACCTTCCCGTTTAACCTATATTATTTGTTGTCTTGTTTTAATATTGATAGTGGTTAACTTTTACACTTTGTACTTGTCAAACAGTTTGCAAATGCTCCAGTGAATATCCATAGTCCTTATATGACTTCATTCTCATGACTCAGTGTGCTATCATCCTTCGTTGTCCGTTGGGTTTCGGCCCACATGCAAACACTAACTCAATGGTCACATTCATGTATTGCAATGAAATGCATTTCATCCAAGATATTTTATTCATGACTCTAACCACTCATCGTTTACTACAACAATGGTGAAGCTCTAGTAGCATGAACAACACAATATTTAAGTCATGAGTGAATAATTTGTGACAAATCTGAATTAACTGAAAAGAAACGCTCTCTCATAGAGTGAAGAAGCGTCCTTGGCTGACTTAAATAAGGCCAAACTATTTGTTGTCTACAATGGCTGACAACTGCCTAACAGTCTTTTTCAATCTGACAGGAGGACCAAGACAGTTTGTTATGCACAAATAAAGGGGGAAAAAAAGTTACCTGTTGTGTTGTCCCCCACGTTTGGTTGGTGGTTGCCTCTCGTTTGTAATCCTGGTAAAGTAGGCAAGGGAAGCATCCACAAATATTCACTCGATGTGTTCTGTGGTAGAACTGGCATTTGAGCAGTGCTAAGAACAATCCTCTTGCTCCTTTCCCGAGAAGAAAGTAATAATGGACTGTTAACTTCCCACTCTTAACTCTCTCTCTCTCTCTCTTTTCTCTCTCTCTCCCTTTCTCTCTCTCTTGCCCTCCCTCGTTCACTCCCACAGCCTATTCAGTTATGCTAAAACACAGCAATCCTTTCCAGAAAGCACTTGGGACTCTAAGTGTTGACATAAAAAGGAGGGCAGTTGGGATGTTTGGATCTCATGAGAGAATGACTTTGTCACCCAGAAAGAAAAAGATAAAAGTACAGTCTCATGTCCTTTTTGCAAATCCTTTGACCATCTTGTACATTTCTTCTCTTCAGAGTCACAGTAGCTAAAAAAGTTTCAGTCTATATTTAACACCTCCTCCCTTGCCAGCATGGGTGCTGTTGGCAGCTGAGGTTATCTGAATCTCAGACGATTTGGTCGGCCAACAAGACCACTAAATCTTCCCGCTGACCTGGGATGACAGCTGAACCATGTCATAGTGCTCTGAAAGTACGGTGACAGCAGACACCCGACCCCTTAAGTTGCTCCAAGGAACCACCAACTGCTGACGTTTAGGTGGTCTTGGAGTGAGAGCGTGAGCCAAACTTTCCAACACTTCTGTAGTTACATTTGCTCGCTGTCTCTGCCACAATGTAAATTTAGACAGTGAGGTCAGCGCAATAGCACACTAGTCATTGAGCTCGAGAATTCATGAGGTTCACTTGCTTCAATAAGGTCCAAAAGAGGAACAATATCAACAAATTACTTCAGTGCTAGACTAGCACTCATTAGATCACAGACTTCCTTCAAGGCTTGACAGTCCAAAACATGTCAGTCAAAGTCTACATTCACCCTTTTCTACATACACAAGTCTTGCTATGCTTTCTCATTGTCTATCACAGTATCTGTGACGGGCCATGGGGGAGATGGCACATCTTTACTGTCATCATGTCTAGTTTACCATGTCTAGTTTATCATGTTCCACACATGGATTCAGCATTGAGTGTGAAAGGTGGTCTCCAAGTGCCTATCCAAGGTAGACAATTTTACATCATCCGCAAGTAGAGATCTTGCAGTTCTGTTTACTGTAAGTGCACTTTGCATGCGCCAATATCCTGCATGCACAACAATTGTGCCGACGCCCTCTTCTATCTGCACTAGTCAAGCAAAATACCAAAAGAACGAACACGCCACCCATATGCAGTCAGCGTAAAAATGGGTGCAACTTTATATTCATGCCGGGGCAAGCCTAGTCTACGCGTTTGGGACCGTAATGCGCCTCACTGGGCTGTCCGACGCACTGAGCTGCTGTCGCACCTGATAATTTGGTCACCGAAAGTATACTGCGAAGGGTGTGAAAATGGAAGCATCATTATTTTCGTGCCAGGACAAGTGTCATGTTTAGCATGTTTGTGAATTTGGTTGACAGCACTGCGCCTCACTAGGCGTTCCAGCAGAGAGAGAGCATTTTCTATGACAACGTATCATTGTTTTTATTTGTACTTTATTTTTCCATATTCTTGTTAATCAATCACTGAGCTTTTCGGTCCAATGTTCAGATTTTTTAACAAAACGTACCTCCAATTTTTCACTTGGCTGACTGCTGCTGCTAAGGCTTAGTTTTCTCCACATCGATCCACCTGCTTTCAGTCAACACTCCAACTGTGACACATGGTTTTGTTCAAATGAGCTCAAACAAAAGGGCCCAAAGCCAACAATCATGTAATTGGTTATTTCTTTGATTCTACTGAGAATATGGATCATTTTGAACTTTTGCTGATGCATACCATGTGTTGGGTAACGACAGTGATGTACACTGTGAATACACTGCTCCCATGATGTCAGGCCACTGATGGTGTAGTGGTTCATTTGTCCGACTTCATTCAAGGCACTGTGGGTTCAATTCCAACTCGGATGGTGTAAATATGAGTGTGAATGTTTGTCTGTCTCTACATTTGCCCCGTGATTCGCGACCTGTTCAGGGTCTGACTCTTGCCCGACTGCATTCTCACGGTGCATTGTAATAAAGTTTTTTTCACTATTTTGTGGGGGAAAATGTGGTCATTATACTGAACTTTACTTTATAAAGGTGTTTGTTGTAAGCAAAATCGGCACAAAGAAAATGATGTGAAATCGGGACTTTGGAATGTGAACGTTGTAGGAGTGAAAACGTAAATGGAGTATGTTGAAAAGAGGTTCGACTGTATAAGTGAACACATCTAAGGTGGCACAGAAGTCTTAACTTGTTTCAATGTTAGTCCACTTACTTCCTGTAATTTGTTTCATGTTCTTCTTTTCACACTGCTTGGCAAGGCCAGGCCTTTTGGAAGTTTCACAAACAAAGCCACGAAAAGTGAAAGAAAGGCAAAAAATGTCCCGCGTAACAAATATATGATGAAGAATTGCACTCAAAACATCTTGTACAAGAAGCTTTTACTCACCATGTGCCAAAACTCTTCACTGTATGAAACCACTTGTCTCTGTTACATAGCTATACTTATGCACTGGTTTAAACAGAACATTTGTGGTTAAAATGTTTGCTTCAGAGTAAAGAGGTCAAGAGAATTTGGCTTGACGACAGCAATACTCTGTATGATGCAGCGTGTATTTGTCCACATCGAGGAAAACACCTGGTAAATATGCTGTAAAAAAGTTAGAAACCAAAAACAAACAAAAGACGCATCAAACGGATCAAGTCACGGGGGGATTATTTTCGATGATCATGTGACTCTTGCATTCACTTCTTCTGTGATGCATGTTGACCTGATCCAAGAGCAGTATTGTCCTGATGTAGTCATTATCAACCTGGGAGGGTGTTGTGCTGATGTCATGTTGTTGATGAAGTGAAAGCACACTGCACAGGCCATCCGCTTGATAACTTCTGACTTCCCTCAGCTATCACTTTATTTCTGTGTGTGTGTGTGTGTGTGTGTGTGCGCGTGCGTGCGTGCGTGCGCGCGCGCGCGCGTGCGTGCGTGCGCGCGCGCGCGCGTGCGTGCGTGCGCGCGCGCGCGCGTGCGTGCGTGCGCGCGTGCGTGCGTGCGTGCGTGCGTGTGTGTGTGTGTGAGAGAGAGAGAGAGAGAGAGAGAGCACAAGACAGAACACTGGCCAATACTTTTTGGATTGTACTTATTGTGTCACCTAAAGATATTCAAAGCAAAGCAAAACAGCATTTTCCTCGTCACATTCATTATGATGACATCTTCCGACTTGCGGTATCAAAGAGGAAGGGTGATCCAAAATGAGGTCATGAGAAGTGTATTTTGATGGAAGGCCATAATTCCCACACCCTAAAGTGAAGTCATGTGGTGGGAAGCAGCGAGGAAGAGGCTTGTTTTGATTTCACTCTTTATACAGTGCATATCATACGCACATGACCTATCCAGGCCAATGTGTTATGAATCCCGGAAGAACCGTGGGCAGTGTGAGGAGCACCATTCCCACACTAACTTCTCGATATACATTAAATAATATTCTATCGTAAGACTTGACGTGGCCATGCAATTGATAATTGGTGCTTTGTGCAAAACTTTTATTACTCCACTTCTCATTTGGGGCTCAGTGACTGTGTCTGTCGTCAAAACACTGCTGCCGCTTTAGCAACCTACTCAGGAACACTTTTTTTTTTTTTTTGTCTCATTCAAGAAACTGTGACCCAGGGCCAAGGCCATAAGGGGATTATAAGGGGAGGCGGTAATATCATCACTGAAAAAGGTCATGCAAAAAGGAAATATCAAACATTCTTTTTCTGTGAATCTTGAATCTTTTTTTAAGGTTGCAGACCAGTCTGGGAGAAGAATGCCTGCATGAATCAGTTGAAAAACCAAAGATTTCCTTCAGTGTGTATGTGTATTAGGGTCCAATTACCGAAGATTACATATTCACTCACGCTAATAGTCTTCAGACAGTAGGTGGGGGACACCCTGAACCGGTTGCCAGGCAATCGCAGGGCACAGAGAGACGAACAACCATCCGCGCTTACACTCACACCGAGGGACAATTTAGAGTGTTCAATCAGCCTGCCATGCATGTTTTTGGAATGTGGGAGGAAACCGGAGTACCCGGAGAAAACCCACACAGGTACGGGGAGAACATGCAAACTCCACACAGGAAGGCCGGAGCTGGCTCGAACTCGGTATCTCTGCACTGTGAGGTTGACGCGCTAACCACTGGACCACCGGGCCGCCCTTTTCTCTCTCTCTCTCTCTCTCTCTCTCTCTCTC